CTTTTTACCACTTCACCATCAGCCGCACCAGCAACCGCTGAATTAATAATGAATGCTACTCGCATTAGGAAACATAGATCCTTGTGATCGGCTGAGGCAGCTCAAGGTAACCACTATTCCCACTCCCAGGAATTCGAGCAACGACAGTGGCGGATTATCGATACTGGCTAGAGAGAGTTTGGTCGAATTCAGCCACTATTTGAAAGAGAATTCCAGTAGTTGGCGACTCTGACATTTAGTTTTCCGTGGTATCTCCCGTCAACGACACATGAATGCCGCAATGGGTATCCTAACAAACGGGCAACGGACAGCGCGCGATCTTTCCTTCCTGATCCTTGCCTCATCTCCCCTTTCACGCAAACACACTCGCACACACATACATAGATACATACACACACACGCACGTACTGCTAGTTATATCAGGAGACAACCTCAATCAATTTTTCGATATTACTACACTAAATGAAATTCCTTACAATAAATAAATATTTAAGTAAGATCGTGAACAATGTTTTGCAAAAAAAACCAACAAAACACAACACTACTTATAGTAATTTCTGCTGGAAGTTAATGTACATTTTCTTAATTTAATAAACGAAATTAATATTTTTTAAATTAAAAAAACTTTCCAAAAAGGGTTTCAATTTTTTTCTTTAATTGTTTCCCTCGGCTAGAGAAAAGGACGCCTAAAAATGGTAGATGTCAAATTTTCTTTGAACTCTGAATTTTCGAAAACTGCATAAATTAGACGCAACACCGGATGTGATGTTGCAGCACAACTAGTTTAATTATAACTAATAGAAACATCAAGCATGCCCAAAATTCCGCGATGTATAAGTGAAATATCTTCCCGTACGCGAAAATGTATGTACTATATTTAAAAAAAAATATTATAAGCAATACGTGCGCCAGAAGGTTCGCGCACATGTTTCAAGGGTAACGGAATAAACAGAATAATAAAACGCAGATAAACTCACGTGGTGCGGAAGGAAACAATCCAATATAGAAAGCAATGTAAGGTAAAAGTAAAAGCAGCTAAGTGACTCCTTTCCAGAGTCGAACTAGTAAACAAAGTAGTGTTTACAATGGGGATCACGTACTCATGCAGCGAAAGGTCGTTGCAGTAACGCTGCCTCTGGCAACCCTCTCGGGCAGCTGATTTCGTATTCCGGTGGCGGAAACTGGGCCCTCGCCCCCTCACTCACTTCTCCAACAGCAGCGCCGAACGTGGCGTAACAGCGCAACAAAGGGATAAAGCAGCTCGGGGTCGCCCACAAGTACAATACACAGCACTGACTGGCATCTGCGGTCTCGTTCTTTCCACACACCGCGACACCCCCCATTTGCAACACAACGCGAAGCGTCCTATGGTCTTCACAAGACTTCGAACGATTCTAAAGGTGTCCCCTTTCTGTTCACAAGAAGAAGTACAGCAATACTATAAGAGGCTTTGCCCCAGTGGTATTATAAAGTTAATAGTAGTACACTAAGGTATACAACACTTTAGATAAATGAAAATGATTTCTTTCGGTTATAATTTATCACTTAAATGCAGATGTTACTTTATTCTATTTTTCACTCTTATATTTAATAGAATTACTCATTAATGCAAAAAACGATGAGCGAGTGTCTGTTTAAGTACCTTTCCTGCGGCAAATTGAGTTGAACTATAATAATGGTTTTATTGGCACAATTTTATTGACATCTTATTACCTCCATTGCTTTTTAGGCTGAACAAAGCAGAGGACTATTGCATGAATTGTATTAATTATTTGTCTAAATTATTTTGAGCTGATTATTCTTTCTTTGATCAAAAAGTTAATAATACTATCCTATAACTATTATTTTGAAGACAAATTAATAAAAATGATTATTTTTGCCAGCGAGTATTACAACCAGTTGCAACGAACTAACTTACACATTATTATGAGAAAACGATAAACTCCTGTTTATCGTTTTCTCATAATAATGTGCAAGTTAATTTCATATTCCTCAGTGGGACAACATGTATTTAATCCGATCAACATTAACCGCAGATCTACCTATAAAATACGGCAGTCATTGTATTTATCTCAGAAATAAGGAATGCACAAAAACTTTTTTCTCGAATTTGTTTTCAAAGACACGCCGCCACATCGATACTGAGAATTCCTCGCATAGGTTACTAAACTGCAGCGAAATTGGAGTTGTAGCGGAGTCGCGAGTCGTGGGATAAAAGGACCACAAGCTATTGCTCGAGAAGGGGCGACGGCGACGAAGGCGACCGCTTCGGCAGCGCCCTCCCACGCAGCGCCGAAGTGCAGGGTCACTGAACGTCTCATTCACACTCCGGTTCCTTTCTGGGACTCCCGCTGCCGCGTCGTCGCACACGTTTTCTACGTGACGCGCCGAGCAACATCCGCGGGGGCGCACAATGCGAGGTTTTCCCCGCCGGTTGGCTCACTGAGAATTCCTGAGGGGTCGCAAAATAACGAAACTTGGCGAGAGTAACACAGTCCCATTATAAAAAAGTTTAGTTAAATTTGGAAGCAAAACATGTACAAACCCGGTTAAGCTACATCACCTCTAGCAAATATCTGTTACGATCTATGCAGCTTCTGAATGTTATCAAAGTTATATACAATTACATAATTAAACGTGAATTTTGATGGTTACCATAATATCGTGTGAGAAATCCAAAGGATACTTCCATTTACTCATCCTCAAATTAACTTTATTTTTTTAATTATTTATTAAAATAGTCTGTCGCCTAGACAACTGACTACTAAATTAACTGCTATAATCAAATTTGGTTATTGAGGATTCTTGTCTACCCTTGCATTCATATCACTCACTACGAAGGAAGACGCGCACATTCTTGCGGATACCTGTGAATTTTGTTACTTTTTTCTGATTAACATTACTGTAAGTTCATAACTTGAAGTTCAACGTTGACAATGACAATAGTGGTGACAACTAACTTTCATGATTAATAATCTACCATGAGCTCAATGATTAATAGGTTTCTTTTTCAAGTTGCAAAATGTGTTATCAAAACTTTCCTCACGTTGATGGCATCACCATTATAGCCATGAAGTTACCTTCCCCACCAAACAAAACATGTACAACAACGCAGGCTGGCATTTGACGACCACAATTCGTTTGCATTTTGAAACAAGTAATTTCTCACAACCCTGTCAAAAAAGTGTATTCAACTAAGACTAAAAATAATACGATGAGAAGGCGTCGTATTGGGAGGTTTGTTGAAAGTAATGAGGACAATAATAAAAATACAACTCCACAACTCACCGAATGTAGAGCATTCGGTCGTGATTTATTTACCTTACATGTTACCAATCAAATTTTAAACAAATTACTAAACTCACATCTCAATGGTAGCAAGAGTTCAATTATAACACTCATAAACGCTAACCATACAGGAGCGTTTATGGTTTAAATAGGTTTTCTATTCGGTTTAATGGAGGTTTAAATAGGTTTTCTATTGGTATGTAAAATTGTGCAGAACGGAATTACAGCTGAAGTCAAAAATTAATCCTACCGTTTCCGATCAGGTGATCGTCATTTTTCTTTCACAGTCGAAACGAATCACTTCTGCGAATAAAACAACAATAACACTCACTCAGCAATAATAGACCCGGATCTTGGCTACGGTCTGTGCCTGTTTGGACTCTTTCACTCGCAATAAATATGTCAAAAGGAACCTTATCCCAACACAACAAAATCTATTATTAGGCACCTGATACGATTGATACTCGTTGCTTGAAACCAAAACGAATCTCGAATGGCAACAAAATCAGAATTAATCCTTAACCACAAATATCAAACATTGGGTAACAATGTTGATATCACTCGTTTACTCTCTCAGTAAGGAAATTGATCGAAGCTATAGCACTTCATGCGACACGTAACTGTTTGACCACAATTATTTCGAAATTAGACTAATCATGACACTGAAATGACAGTAACTTCACAATGTTCGCCACAGTCCACGTAGGTAGTATAATGCACCAACACGAACAAAATATTAGTTCATCTTTAGGTGATCGTCAACGTTAAATATGTAGAATGCAAACATAATACAATTTGTCCTATCCACGAGCCACCAGGTGGTGATAAACAGCCGTCCACATTAAAAAAATAATCAGTTATGACTAAAATGGCAGTCCCTTCACTGATTACAGTCCAGTTACCGATAAGATGGGAATGTTGCATTCATATCCATGAAAAATAAATATATGTACTAAAATCATAGCACAAATATGAACACTATCCAACCGCGATCAAAGTTGTTCCTCACTCATCCACATTCAAATACAATCACATGTCCAAAAGTGGCCTAGTACTAGTCAATAGACCGGAACCTCGAGCATTAACATTGAACATGTATGAGTCCATTACCTCAATTACGAGACCACAATGCAACACGAAAATGAATCCTATATGCTTGTTCCTTAATATATTTTTGTTCACATTCAATTCACATCCAATAAAAAGACAATCATTCCGCAGTGACAGATATGGTCCAGTTACAGCCCAGACACATTACGAGCAAATATTTCGAAAGTCATAGCGAAATTGAATACTAATCATGATCCACCTTAATTGATCAATACCACACATGGCAAACTTCACTGAGCATCACCGCCAGCCGATCACACACGCAAGCAGGCCCTCGCCGGTTGCTCCCCCGCAGTCGCACCACAACGGCAGTCACAAGCGAATAAGTACTTTTTCATCCGCAATGTAAATAATCACAACGTGACCAAATGAACGGGGAAAATAATCGCATCCACGCCCGAGATTCCTGAAATGACGAAAGTCGTCCACAGTATGTCGAGGCGAGCACAGCCACCGACCACTCGCACAAACCGGTTCATTCGCACTGGGCAATGCACCCGCTGCCACGCGACGACATCGACATTCCGGGTAAACAACGATACCACTCCTTTTTCATTCTTTTTAAAAACATAGATTTAAAAAAACACGCAAACGAATCGAACGCCACAATTCACTAGGGTTGCGCTGCGGTGCGCTGCGCTGGGCGGCCGGGCCCCGCGAGCTCACCTCCGCGCCTCGAGCCCCCTGCCACTGCCGCTCCCTCCACTCCTCGTTGCGCTGCGCTGCGGCGCGCCCTCGGCTCCGCGCCGCCGCAGGCCCCGCACTGAGAGCCGCGGCGGCGGTGGGCGGCGGCGGCGAAGCGGGCCGAAAGGGCCCGCGGCACAAGCGGGTCACGGCCGCCCCCAACCCGCCCGCCTCGCGGCGGCGGCGGTGGCGGCGGCGGTGGAGTAGTACGGTGGTCATCTGGCGCTTGGGCAACTGGGCGCTTTGGGCGGTGGTCGGCGGGGGCGTCACCGCGCGCGCCGTGCACCGGCGGTGGCGGTGGCGGTGGCGGTGGCGGCGCGCGCCTGGCATTGCGTCACTGCGGTAGTGCGGAATGGAAGGCTCGGGTGCACTGTGAACAGGAGGCCGGGGCGCGCCGTGGTGGAGCTGCCTTCCCCCGCTGTGGAACTCCTGGTGGACGAAGCAGCTTCACGAAAGCTTCTCGCTAACTTCTTCTTATTTTTCATCTCCTTCTTCTCCTTCGTCTGCTTCTTCTCCTTCTTTTCGTTCCATCCTTGCTCCAGCATCAGTCGCATCTTATCTTCATAACCATCTCCCATCGGCATTATTCACCAATTCACCAATTATTCACCAATTCACCAATTATTCACCAATTCACTATTATTCACCATCGTAATAAATAATTATAGTTGAAGGGCGGCCTGCTGTAGACACACGGCCAGAAACTACAGCACTTTGTTATGTGGTGACAATCAACTATTTGGCGGTGTTTCAATTTTTCATTCCGTACTCGTTTCAGCGCATTTTATCTGTTCTTACAACTTATGTGGCATGGTACTCATTTCCAGAATGTTTTAGTATTCTCTCATTCAAACGTGGTTCTCCCAATGGAGATGCCCCACTCTGACAAGGTGTAATTCATTAACAATTTATTGCATGGCAGAAAAACAATTCTCTCATTTAGCTTGTCCAGACGACAATACCGAGAAATTAAGTGAATTTGTGAAACATTGTCTTAGTGTTAATAATATACAAAAATAAGAACAAAGAAAAAAAATACAATTTTGTAATTGTGACATTCAGTTATGAAATGAAGGTGTCGAAAATCGAAATTCTAAAATCAACAAAAGATTCCGAACTTGAGTTACGATACGTACTGAAAAACTTTCGACCAAGGTAATAACAATAATCAACCAATTTCGCCCAATTTGACATCTTCCACTCTAAAAGATAAAATAAATCCATGCATTTTAATGTTTTTAACTTTTGAACTAAATTAAGAAGGATAATGGTTAAAATTTAAGTTAAGGACTACCAGGTTTAAAGAAGGCAAACAAGGCTGATAAAGAATACGTAATAGTTGTGTAATTGTTGACGGTTGAAGGACTTCTGAATCCCAACAAGGATCAGTCCTAAGAACAGCAATAATATCCTAAATCTAACGCAAGAACCACTCAATACAAGACGCAATGACAACACCTACCTTGTACACCGAGTACGCTTCCACCTTTCACAAACAAGGGACCTGCCTCCTTCCGAACGCCGGGCGGAACTGTTTCCTCAGAGCTTTTCGTCATTAACTGCCAAACACCCTCGGGAGAGACGTCACTTCTACGCGTAAAGCGAGCGCCAACGGAATCTCGGAGGCTCCCCCTCCGCTGGCGTTGCGCCACCGCCGTTAGCGACGCCTCCGTTACCCGCACCACCTGAACCTTTGCCGGGAGAGCCTTTGCAGCCACCGACGCCTCTGATGGCATCACCGCTGTCACCACTGTCGGCACAGCCACCGACAGCACAGCCACCGTCAGTACTGCCACCGACTGTACTGCCACCGACTGTACTGCCACCGTCAGTACTGCCACCGTCAGTACTGCCACCGTCAGTACTGCCACCGTCAGTACTGCCACCGTCATAACTGACTCATTCTTTACATCGTCACCACTGACACCATCGTCACCATTGACACAATGGTCCGCGACATGGTCTTCACTGATACTATCGTTACTGACCTCGTCCCAATCGACTCATCGACCCTAAAAATCATCATTGACACAGTCAGTAACATCGTATCTTATTGACATCGCCAAAACTAATATCATTGTCACTAACATTGTCGCTACAACCACCGTCACCTCCGGCATCATCCCTACTACTACAACGATCGCCATCAGTCACCTCTGGCATCGTCTTGACCACCCCCACTCCATCGATCGGCGTTGCCCGTGCTGCCACCGCCAGGGCGCCATCCCCAATGTGTCACCTGCGCCGCGCCGCTTTCGCGCGCCAGGCGCGTCTCGTCGTGGCAGGCGCCGCGCCGCGGGGCCGTCCTTCGCGCGGGCGGGGCCGACGTGCGGCGACGTGTGGCGAGTACGTGCGCGCGCGCGTGCCGTCCGGAGGACACCCGCCCGCCCGAGCGCCGCAGACAGCGGCGGCCGAGGACGATCGCCGGGGAGTTAGCAAATTCCCGCGCCCGGCGACGGACGCTCAATGAATATGGGGCATCAAGGGCGTTCGCTCTCGCGTGACGAAATGAGCGAAATGAGGGCTGCCGCGTTCGGCCCTCGCTTCCCTTCCACGCAAACGAATCGACAGCTGAAGAGAGTCGGCAGTCGGAGCAACATACCGATAACTATCAGATGGATTCCTTATTTTTTGTTTGTTTGTTTTTGTTGTTTTTGTTCTTATTTACGGTCGCATTAACATCTCGTTCATTAGCAACCACTATTACATTTGAAATTTTGTTTGAAACAAAATTGTAGAAACTGAAGAGGATGTCACCTACAAGATTGAAACGTCCATCATGAACTATAGATCTTTTAACTTGTGACTGGAATCATCGTTTATTATTTAATTACATTACAGTTCCATAATTGATTCAATAACAATGTTATATTTCAATAACTCAATAACTATGTCATTGTTCTAAGATCAATTTTCAAAAATATCTTGTTTGTGTTTTAACTAAGGCATCTTTGTAAACGATTACTTCGTTTCAATAATATTAATAGAATGAGAAAAAAGAAATAGCATAAACGTAGTTTTTAAATAAGCAAGTGTATATATTTCACATCGCATTTTTATTATTTCGGCACGAGAGGAATAATCATCAGCGATATACGGACGCTGACGCTGACGTTTGGCAGGTCAGTGAAAAAAGAAATGCTCCTCGTATCTTATAAGGAAATGGTAGTAGAGGAAATAATTTAGTTATTTCACGCCAATTCATGATATCACTAGCGCATTCCTGGTTGCTTATTCACAGATTAGCTCCGTTACGTCATTAACATCACATAAAAAGCGGAAAGGAAAAATCTTCTTTTCCATACATTGGTAATAGTATTGTTCAATGAACCAGTAGAGGTTAATACCGAAGACTATCAAATATTATGAACTTTTCAGAAATTAAATATTAAGTACAATGAGAATAAAAGTGACCGAGAAAGTCAAAAATCTAGTTCTCTGTATTTCAAAAATAAAAATAGAAGAAGGTATGAATTAGAACTAGTCTAAATTAATCAAACAAACTCCCTCTTGCGGATATATATATATATATATATATATATATATATATATATATATATATATATATATAGTTTTCTACGAGATATGAAATGTTCACTTGTAAAATTTGAAGCAGCTCTCAATTCTTCTGAACTACACAAGTCAAGAAATGCGGAACTAGACACTAAGGTTCTTCTTACATTTTCACATTTAAGAAATTGAGAAACTTTAAATTGAGTTACTAGGACGGCGTTACTGGGAATTGAATACATGTAGAAATACGAGGGTTAGCCTCTATCAGCATGTTTAATCGCAGGATCGTCAAATTTGATGGTTTGATCTTCACCGTAATGTGATAAGTGGGAAAATAAAAATATTGATAAGACTACACCTTTTATTCCTTAGCCCACAATTGTTACGATCTACTTTGAGGTATTTAGTAATTACGTCAGATTCTTATCACATTACATGCGAACCGAGATCATTTTTAACATGATTCTCAGTTTCCATTGCCCGAAGGTCGACCGCGAAATTAAACCTTAAGAAAGCCTTAATTGGCGGGAGGAATAATTCAATGAACTCGACAAAGTATGTCAAATACAAATTACGGTTCAAAAAAAACCTTCATCCTCCAAAACTTCTCACAGGCACATTATTCCAAGCAATAATCTCGCAGCCCCTGCCTCTGTGTGCAAATGAAACGGCGTTGCATATTGCAGCGGGGTCGCCGTAGCCGCCTTCCACTCGCGAGGCCTTGGGAGCGACGCGACGCCACGCGGGGGCGTCTTGCCTCACGGCGGAGGGGGCGGCGGCGGCGGCGGCAGTGGAATCGAACACGAAGTCCGTGGCAGGTGCTCGCCAGTGGGAGGGAGGGTGGAAGCGAGGCAGTGGTGGCAGTGGTGGAGGCGGTCGGGCAGTAGAGGCGATTCAGTGACGGTGAAGGTGGGAGGTGGCGGAGATAGACGGGGGTGTAGACGGTGGCAGAGGTAGAGGTGGAGGTTGCATCGGTGACGGGGCGCGGAGGCGAAGATGGAGGCGGTGGCGGCGCAGACAGGGTTGGAAACGGAGGCGGTGGCAGTGCAGGCAGGGACGGAGGTGGAGTTGGGGCAAAGGCGTAGGCGGGGGCGTAGGCGGTAGCGGT